GGGGAGGGAGATGATAGAGGGGGAGGAGGGGGAGGATGGAGGGGGAGAGAAGGGATGGGGGGAGGGGGAGAAGGGAGGGGGCGGGGGAGGGGGCCTATGGCACGGCCCAGCACTTGCCCAGTGGCTCAAGCTAAAGGAGGTCTAGGAAAGGGGCTGGGGGGAGATGTTGGAGTCTTTTGTTCTTCCTCTCCCTCTCTCCCACTTCCCCCCAAGCTGGAAGAGGTCAAGTCGTCGGAGCGGAGCCTTCGGGCCCGGCTGAAGTATCTGTCCAGCGAGCTGGCCCAGTACAAGCAGGGGTGAGCAGGCTGTCCTGGGGAGATCGGGGAAGGGCTCGGTAGAGGTAGGTGGCGAGACCTAGCAGGGTTGGGGCCTGTCTCCCCAGGAGGCAGACCCTGTCTTTGGTACAGTCACCGCAGCCCCGGAAGGACCGGCGGCGGACAGCATCTCAGGAGCGGAACCCGTCGTGGGGCCGAAGGCCCGCCCGATCTTCGTCTCAGGACAGCAACCGAGGAGGGGCGCCATCGCGGCCCTCCTCCTCCCCAGCAGGTACGTGGCCCACCTTCCCCTGCCTCCCTCTGCCCCGCCCGCCCCCTTCTCAGCGGTGGATCTCGGGCTCGGCCGATCCCTTGGATGAGCGAGGAGGCCCTTCGCCACCTCTTCTCTTGGTCCCCAGGTGTCCGGGCGCCCCGCTTCGACCCCACTGCCTTCGTCAAGGCCAAAGAGCGGAAGCAGAGAGAGCTCAAGATGAAGAAGTGAGTGATCCTGCCTCCCCAGGTGGACCGGGCGGGGCCGGGGGGGGGGGCCTCCAGACTCCTCTGCTCCCCAGGGCTTAGCGGATGAAGGACCAGCTCCGCTGGGGTGGTGCAGTGGCCACGCTGCTGGCCTCACAGTGACCCTGTCACTTCGCCTGCCTGCCTCAGTGTCCTCATATGTCCAGTGGGGACCATCCCAGGGGGGTTGTGAGGATTTCTGCCAAGGGCCAGAGCCGCGCTCCCCATCATCATTTCGGGCAGTGTGTTGCGTTGCCCCTGCCTTGTGTGGGATGCCCGCTGGCCTCGGCCCCTCCTGGAGTGTTCAGATGCTGCCTTTCCCCAGTTTGTCTCATCTGGCCCGTGGCTGTGTCCCCCAGTCCGATGGAGGCTCCTTCGTTGTGTCTTGGGATCCCCGGTGCCTTGCATACAGGAGGCACTTAATAAATACTGGATTGGGTTAGAGTGAGTTTTCCTCCTCTTCCCTCAGCCAGCAAAGGAACCGGATCGGGAGTGGGGAAGGGTCGGGGAGCTGGGGTCGAAGCCGGGTCCGCGGCTCGTGCGCCGTCTCAAGAGAGGAAAGGGCCCCCAGAGGCCGGACGCGAAGCTCCTCTGGTAAGGGACGTGAGATGTTTCCCCAGGGAGGAGGGAAGGGCGTCGTGTCTGACTTCTTAGTCCTGGCACAGGTCCCTGGGTGCTGCGGAGCCCATGAGGCCTGGTGCTGGGTGCGAGGGGGAGGGAGGCCTGGCTCCAGTGAAGGGGGGGGAGTGGGATGAGGGAGGCCAGGAGCTATCCAGGATGTGGGAGGTTGGAGGTTGGGTCCTGGAGGGCCAGGCCGTCGTTCAGCCTTTAGTCAGGGGCCTGGCCTTTCCTTTTCTCCTTCCCTACCCCAGTAGAGAGTTTTCGAAGCCGCCACTCATCGCTGAGCTCAGCCAGTGAGTTTGAGGATTTCACCAACCCAACTTCGCGAGGGTAAGGTGGTGGGGGTGGGAGGGAGAGGCGTGGGGGGTTTACTCCAGGAGAAATTGCCTGGGAGCCTGGGAAACCACTGAGACCCAGGCATTGGGTGGTAGGAACCTTCATGCCCCGCCCCCAACTTGCTTCTCTGGTTGCTTTTCTCAGCTGTCGGAGGCAGCCCAGAGTTCGGAAGCCCCTGAGCCCCTCCTCCTGGAATGGCTCAGGAGAGGTGAGTATCGGGGGCTTCCCCCCCTGCGCCCCATGACCCTGGTGCAGCTGGTCCGGGCAGGGTGTGGGCAGAATAGGGGAGCCGGGGAGGGAATCCTCAGGAACGACCATTGGGCTCAGAGACCTCCCTTGGGTGTCTGGTTTGTGGGTGAGGGGGGACAGGATTGGGGGCACCTTGGATGATCTGAAAAGGGCTTGGGGGGCTTTGAGAGTAGAGTGAGCGATGGAGCTTTTGGGGGATTGTTGGCTGGCATGAGTACTTGGAGATCCCTCCTGACTGCCTGCCCTGCCCCTTCAGATGCCTGTGCTGGACAGTGGCCGCAGAAGACGGCAGGCTAGCAGCACCCCTACCCCGAGGGGCCAGACCTTTGGCAAAGGTGAACTTCCTTCCTGAGAGCCAGCCGTGCTTCCTTGGTGGAGTGGGGGGATTCACCCCCTGCCTCCAAGAGCTCCTAAAACCCTTGGGTTCACCCCGGGTCCTCCCAGGAGCCCTTTCTGCCCATCCCCAGGCTGGTTCCCAGAGCCAGCCACTTTCCTCTTCCTCCTTACAGAAAACACATTTGAGGAGCCGCCCGCCGACCTGTCAGAGATTGATGCCCGCCTGCAGGCCCTGCAGGAGTATATGAACAGGCTGGACACAAGGACGTGACACTCCCCCCCAACACCAGCCAAAGGGGCTTGGGCCTGGCTTCCCTTCTTCTCCTTAGCCCCCCAGTGGGAGGCCAGAACTGAGGCTCAGCCCTGGCTGCCAGGGAACCTGAGGGCTGAGGAGGCATGCGTGTATGTGTGTGTGTGTGTGTGCGTGTGCACGTGTGTTCGTGTGTGGGGAAGGACAGAGGATGTAAATAAAGGGTTTGGGCAGTTTTCCCTCCCTCAGTCCACCTGTCATCTGAGTTGGTGTGCTCTGATCTTTGTGCTCTGACTTTCTGCATCTGGGCTTTGGGCTGGGGCAGCAGGGCCCACGGAGGAGATCACTAGGCCCTCCAACCTAGCCTCTCGTCATTGCCTCTGTGACTAGGGCTGGGTCCCCTGAGTTAGTGAGCTCAGTTTCCTCCCATGTAAAATGGGGTGGCTGATCCCTGGGGTCCCTCCCTCATGCATTGACCATCGGAGAGAATGTGCAGATGGCTCTTCCCACCAGATAGCAGCACTTCCTGTCATTTAGAGGGCTGGGGACTGAAGGAACCTGAGACACGAGCCACTTGACCCCCTCACTGGATGAGGCAGGAAACCAAGGCCCAAGGAGATGAGGAGTGGGCCTGTGGAGCAGGCCCCTCCAATGCTGGCCGGCATCAATGCATAGAACCCCCAAGTGGCCAGGGTCTCGGTAGCTTTATTCTGGGATACCGGGGAGGGGCAGCCGGCCAGCCATGGACACTGGAGGCAGGGGAAGGTGTTTGGCTGCGATGTCCCAGGATCCAGTGGGCCTCTCACCCTCGATAATGGGGCAGCTTCCGCAGTTCACCGTAGAGCGCGTCCGCCGGGGGAGCCCCTATCTGCACGTTCTGCTGTGGCCGGATCATATATTGAGATGAGAGTACACCATGCACCGTGCCACAGCGAAGGAGGCTCTGGATGGCCCGGATGGCTCGGGGAGCAGGGGGTCGATCTGGGGGAGGGAGACAGCCTGGTTTGCCAACATTCTGTCCTTGGCCTTTCTTCCCCCTCCATATAGCCACACCCCAGGGACCCAAGTTTCCTGGTTCTGATCCTCAGCCCAATATAGGCCCAGGGACTTGGGTGTCCTAAGTCTTAGCACCACAGGACCCAAGTGTCCTTGCCTCTAGCTTTGCTGTACTCTCCAGTCCCAGTCCCATACCTTCCCAAGGACCCTCCCTCTCTCCTGTTGTTACTTACTCCTGAAGTTGCCGATGAAGCTGATCCCCAGGGAGATGGAGTTCCAGGCGGGGTCTGAGTGGTCTCCTGTGGTGGACCACCCTCGCCCCTCGTAGATGAGCCCATCTTCCCCAATCAAGAAGCTGGAGGCAGAGAGGATGGATTGGCCTATCAGTGAGGGCTTCTTTGCCCTTTCTCCCCCAGCCCCAGTGTTTTGGGCTTCTTGGCACTCAAAATCCTATCTCATGAGAGCTTTCACCCCCCTTTGGAGCAAAAGTCTGCTTAGAACTGGGATATCTTCCCCCTGAGACCAGGAATTCCCTAACCATTGTGTTCCCCCTCAAATGAAGGGCCCCCCATCACTGTTGTATTCTCACCTCAGACCAAGGGCCCCCCCATAGCTAGGAGGTTACTTTCAGATCAGGGGCTCCCTGACCTCTGTGCTGTTTTAGGCCAGGGTGTCCTCCACACCTAGGATAAGTTTCTCCCTTCGGATGAGGGGTTCCTTTCACTGCTGGGCTGTGTTTCTACCCCAGGGCTCTCACATCTGAGATGTTTCAGATCAGCCCCCACTGCACCAACATACTGTGTTTCCCCACTGGCCCCAGGCTCCCCCACAGCTGGGCTGTTTCTTCCCTCAGATCAAGGATTTCCCCAACACTGTTCTCTCCCCTCCCTTAGAGCAGGGCCACCCCTCCCATTCAGACTAAGGTCTCCCCCACAGCTGGGATGTTCTAACACAGCCCAGGTCTGTGCCTCTCCCGCACCCCAACCCTAGACCGGGGGTTGTTTGGGTCTCTGCCTTCCACCCCGTTGTTGTCCGAGGATGCTCACTTGTATGAGATGTCACAAAGACGCTGTATGTGGACATCGTTGACTTGGATGTTTCTTATCTGCTGTTCACAGTCTGAGGGGGAAAGGCAGGGGTTGCCACCTGTGTGAGACACCACCACGAAGTCCACCGGCAGGTTCAGGGGCTTCAGGCACCGAGAGGGCAGGGCCCCCCATTCAGCCCTTGACACAATGTCTGGGCAGCCAGGCAGTATGTTCTCGGGCTTCAGGTCATCCTGTCCCAAGACAGGGAGGGTGGCCAAGAGCAGAAGCAGCCAGGGTACCATGTCTGCTTTGGGATCTCAGGCCAAGGGAATCGGAGAGCAGAGGGCCGGTGATCTTGGGATACCAAGGAGAGCTCTCCAGTGCCTAAAGCTGGGGCTGGCTATTTATCACCTGCATTTGGGGAGTGGGGGAGGACAGGATACAGGGCAGTGACCTTCCCCTTCCCTTGGCCACGGAAGGCCTTGCATCAAAACTCAGGTGCCTTGCCCCACATGTGTTGGAAACTAAAACCACAGGTTCCTGTTTTCTTTGGAACCTGGTGGGGGCAGGGAAGGGGAGAGTTGGGTGGTCTTGATGCTGATGGTTGAGGAGGGGGAGAATTTTTCTGGCCTCCTCCTTTCCAAGGCCGCTGGACACCTTTGGGCTCAATGGCAGCCGGAGGTCCTTCTTCCCTTCCATGTCCGCCCTCCTTCTGGGCATCGAGAGCCGACTTCTGGCGCTGGCCATCCCACCACCGCCCTGGGGGACCTTGGGTAAGTTCCTTCCCCTCTCCTGGTTTTAGTTTCATCATTCCACAATAAGAAGCTATGATTCTGTGGTTTTAATCTCTTGAAATGCTGCTTCTCTAGGCCTGATGAGGATCCAGCCATTCAGTGGTCCAGGAGGATGTTTGTGTTTCTTTATCTCAGTGGGAATACACATCATTGATTCAAACCAACAAACATTTGGAAGGAGCTCCCACAATGAGCCAGGATTACAAAGTCAAAGGACAAAGCTGACCTGGGCTAGCTGACCTGGCCTACATTCTACTGGGGTGTGGGTGGGGGAGCCTTGAACATACAAGAAAGAATAAGGTCTACACAAAATCATGGAAACGAATGGCAAAGGGGAGAGAGTGTTACTGGGGAGGGGGATGGATAATGAAAGGCATTCTGTAGGAGAAACTACCTGGGGTGTGCTTTGAAGGAGGTGCAAGGAGCATCTATTATGCTCCTACTCTGTGCCAGGCACTGGAGATAGAGGAGCAAGTGACAGTCCCTGCCCTCAGGGAGCTTATATTCTAACGTACATAGAACAATCAGACTCAAAATATATATAAAGTAATTTTTAGGAGGAAGGCACTAGCCCTGGGGGGCTCTGGATAGGTTTTCTTTATTTTTAAAAATTAATTAATTTATTTTTAGTTTTCAACATTCACTTCTATAAGATTTTGAGTTTTAAATTTTCTTCCCCTCCTTCTCCTCCCCCCTTCCCAAGATAGCCTGCAATCTGATATAGGCTCTACTTATACATTCATATTAAGCATATTTTCAAATTGGTCATGATGTAAAGAAGAATTAGAACTAATAGGGGGAACCACGAGAAGGAAGAAACAAAACAAAACAACAAAAGAAAAGGAGAGCAAATAGTATGCTTCCATCTGCATTCAGACTCCATAGTTCTTTCTCTGGATGTGGATAGCATTTTCCATCATAAGTCTTTTGGAGATGTCTTAGATCCTTGCATTGCTGAAAAGGGCTAAGTCTACCAAAGTCAGTCATCACACACTGTGGCTGTTACTGTGTACAATGTTCTCCTGGTTCTGCTCACTTCACTCAGCATCAGTTCATATAAGTCTTTCTAGGTTTTTCTGAAGTCTGCCTGTTCATCATTTCTTATAGCACAATAGTATTCCATTACATTCGTATACCACAACTTGTTCAGCTATTCCCCAGTTGATGGGCATCCCCTCAATTTCCAATTCTTGGCCACCACAAAAAGAGCTGCTATAAATATTTTTGTACATGTGGGTCCTTTTCCCATTTGTATGATCTCTTTGGGATATAGACCTAGAAGTGCTATTACTGGGTCAAAGGGTTATGCACATTTTTATAGCCCTTTAGGCATAGTTCCAAATTGCTCTCCAGAATAGTTGGATCAGTTCAAACTCCACCAACAGTGCACTAGTGTCCCAGTTTTCCCATGTCTTCTCCAATATTTATCATTTTCCTGTTTTGTCATGTTGGTCAATCTGGTAGGTGTGATGTGGTACCTCAGAGTTGTTTTGATTTGCATTTCTCTAATCAATAGTGATTTAGAGTATTTTTCATATGACTATAGACAGCTTTAATTTCTTCCTCTGAAAACTGCCTGTTCATATCCTTTGACCATTTATCAATTGGGGAATGACTTGTATTCTTATCAATTTAACTCAATTCTCTATGCATTTTAGAAAAGAGGCCCTTATCAGAGACACTGGCTGTAAAAATTGTTTCCCAGATTTCTGCTTCCCTTCTAATCTTAGTTGCATTAATTTTGTGCAAAAACTTTTCAATTTAAAATGTAATCAAAGTTATCCTTTTTGCATTTCATAACGTTCTCTATCTTTTGTTTGGTCATAAATTCTTCCCTTCTCCATACTGACAGGTAAGCTATGCCTTGCTCTCCTAGTTTGCTTATAGTATCAATCTTTATATTTAAATCATGTACCCATGGTATAGAGTATAAGATGTTGGTCTATGCCCAGTTTCTGCCATCCTATTATCCAGTTTTCCCAGCAGTTTTTTCTAAGTAGTGAGTTCTTATCCCAGAAGCTGGAGTCTTTGGGTTTATCAAACAGTAGATTACTATAGTCATTGACTGTTGTGTTTTGCGTACCTAACCTATTCCACTGATCCACCACTCTATTTCTTAGCCAGTACCAAGTAATTTTGATGATTGCTGCTTTATAATGAAATTTAAGATCTGTACAGCTACATAGGTTTTCTTTAGAAGCTGGCACATGAGCTGAGCATCACTGGAAGCTAGAAATTATGCAAGGCAGAGGTGAGAAGGGATTGCACTTTAGTCATGGGACACTGCCCATACAAAGGCTCAGAGGTGGAAATGGGGATGTCCTGCGCAGGGATGGACAAGCAAGGTAGAGAATTTAACTTACCCTTCTAAGCATTATACCTCCACTCTGCTGTAGTCTTCCAACATCAGGTGGAGAACCTGGGGTCTTCAAGGCTATGCCAGCACA